CAAAACAACTATAAGATATCATCTCACCCCACTAAGAATAGCAAAATTTAACAGAACAGCAAACAACAAATGCTGGTGAGGTTGTGGAGAAACTGGAACCCTTATTCACTGTTGGTGGGAGTGTAAAATGGTGTAACCTCTATGAAAGGCTGTATGGTGATTTCTCAAAAAGTTGCAAATAGAAATACCATTTGACCCAGCAATTCCACTACTGGGAATATACCCTAAAGAAACCATAACCGCCATCCAAGCAGATATATGCACACCCATGTTTATTGTCGTTTTGTTCACAAAAGCAAAGAGCTGGAAACAACCCAAGTGCCCATCAACAAACGAATGGATAGAGAAGCTGTGGTATAGTCACACAATGGAATAATATGTTGCATTGAAAAACAAAGACCTCATGAAATATTATACAAAATGAGTGACCCTGGAGGACATTAAGATGAGTGAAGTATCTCAGCCACAAAAGGACAAATATTGCATAGGTCCAGTATTATAAAATGGGACTGACATCAGGGTTGAGGGAAGATAGAGAAGGAGGGGAGGAATGATGTACACTGCATTGAAACAGATGAGTAGATAACTGTTTAAAAGGGATATATGTTTGGGTATTAATGTCATGACAGGAGTCCAGAATGAAGGCTGCACAGTGGAGTGGACTTCGAGGGGGGATTGCATAACAATGAAAGTTTTTCTTTTACTTTTCGAGGAGAAGAGCAAATTGGGAGGGAAGAGTGTGGGCAGAGAGAAAAGTGCAACAGTGAATGAATGGAAACCCCAAGTCTCTAAACTTTCATTAAAATTAATTTTAAAAAGAAAAAAATTAATTTTAAAAAGTAATGCATCTAAAAAAAAAATAGTATCTCAGGACCAATAGTCCTCTAGGTCTTGACTGGTTTCTGGTTTGTTTGTTTTAAAAAGCTGAAGTTCTGTTCCACATTTCCCCCCTTTTTATCAAGGCTCATCTGTTATAGCCCTTGTTAGAATAGTGAGCGGTGGCGGCCAGGCACCATCTAGTTCTGTTGGTCTCAGGGGAGATGAGGCTGTGTGGTTCGGGTAGACTGTCCTGTGGGCTAGTTTCCTCCCTGAGTGTCTTCTTTCTCATTTACTCTGCATGTTGTTGTTGTGTGCCTTTGAGGCAGAACTGACCTGTAGCTGACCCTCCAGCAGGTTTTCAGCAGGTAAATCACACAGGAGAATGTTCCTCCTTCTCCCATGGAGCGGCTGGTGGATTTGAACCGTGCACAGTTGAAATTGCAGCACAGCTCCTTACCACTCGGCTACCACTGCTGTGCCTGAGGCGAGACTGATAGTTCTATCTTAGATGGCCTCTGTCAAACTGTCAAGACCCCAAACTCTTTTTCTAAAACTAGGCTATAGGACACACTTGATGAACAATGTTTCCCAGTTGGCTGTGATACTACAAAATGTGTGGCCCTAAGCCATCAACACACAGTCCACTGATGTTTTAGTGGTGTCTGTGCTAACGGACGAGGGCTCTGGAGGTGCAGTGGTTTAAGTGCATGGCTGCTAACCAAAAGGTCAGGGGTTCAAACCCAAGAGCTGCTCCTCAGGAAGATGAGGCCGTGCACTTCTGCAAAGTCTGTGGCCTTGGGATTCCTGAGGGCTTGTCTGTCCTGCAGGGTCCCTGTGAGCTGGAGACTCCAGGACAGTGGGATTTTAGGGGGCTCAGTGGTGCCCAAAACTAATGACATTTTGTTCCTGTTGTTTTATTCAAATGTGCCTGACCGGACCTGCCCTCATTTCTCCCCACTCCCGGGGCTGGTCTGCGGTGCCCGCCGGTGGATGCTGCATATACAGGCCTCTCCCAGAAGAGACCGGGATGGACACGCTGGGCAGCCCCGCTGGAGACACCTCATGTAAGTGTCCATGCCTGCAGGTGCGCGAGCACTGGCCTCCCAGGTTTCAGTTCGCTGGGATCCAGTAACCCTGAAAATGGTAACGGTTAGGGAAGGGAGTGGCCTCCGAGGTCATCCAGGAGCCCAGAGGCCACCTCACATGGGTCTCTCTGGACCCACTGCAAGATTCTAAGGTTTTCAAGGTTGTCTAAGGTTTTAAAGGTGTGGTGCACAGGGACCCTCAGAGATGGACTGACCGGGAGACGTCAGCCACGGGCTCAGGCACCGACTGCGGATGGCTCAGGGCCGGGCAGTGCCCCACTCTACTGGACGTAGAAGTGCTGTGAGTGATCAGAATCAGCTCCACAGAATCTAATAGCTTCAGCACTGACTAAAGGTTGGGAGAAGTACCACGAAAGAAAGGCCTGGCAACTGCTGCTGTAACTGTGACAGCCAAGACCACCGCGTGGCACTGTTCCACTCTGTCACACAGGAGTTGTCACGGCTTAGAATGGACTGAATGGAGGGGGAGGGGAGCAGAGCCAGAGCGAGCCCCCGCTCCCCCCCACATCGGTCCTGTTCTCCCTTGCAGCACCCCCAAACACTTTAAACTTCAACGGGGCGCATCGAAAAAGAAAGACGCTCGTTGCCCCTGAGATCAACATCTCCCTGGACCAGAGTGAGGGCTCCTTGCTGTCCGATGACTTCCTGGACACCCCCGATGACCTGGACATCAATGTGGATGACATCGAGACCCCCGACGAGACCGACTCGCTGGAGTTCCTGGGGAATGGCAACGAGCTGGAGTGGGAAGGTGAGGAGCTGGGGTGGCTTGGCAGTAGCATCCTCGCCTTCCACGTGGGAGACCCAGGTTTGAGTCCCAGCTGGTACACTTGCATGTACAGCCGCTTGTCATCTGTCAGGGGAGGCTTGTGGGCTGCCGGGCAGGTTTCTCTGGGGCTTCTGGTTTAAGAGACCAGGAAGAAAGGCCTGGTGAGTCGTGTCTGGATAACATGTAAACTTACGGAGCACCTGGGCCATTGCACATGGGGTACCAGTGTTGGGGGGCCTGCTTGACGCCCACCAGCAATCACCTGGGTGTCTGCCACCGGCCGGGAAGCCTTCGCCATTCTGCCCGCTGGCCTCCTGTCATGGTCTTTCTGAGGTGGCTGGATCTGTTTTAGCTTCGTTTGTAGGTGTTCTGGGGAGTAGGGATCTTTTCTTGGTCTGTGTTTTACGTCCTTTCAGCAGCTCACAGCCCTCCCTCGTGTTCTGGTCACACACTCTGGCTCTAGGCCTGTGCGGTCAGCATTCAGACCAACTGCCCAGTGCTGCCCTCACATCTCATGCAAAGCCTCATCTGGGCTCTCTGGGGGACAGCTCCTTGGAACGCCCGGAGCCCCTGACACTGAGGGCACAGCAAGAGGCAGGTGGGGGGACGAGGGTTACACCCCAGGCCCTCCAACTTCTTACACATTTGTGTGCCAGACGGGTGTGTTTTCTGGATATGGTTCCCAAAGGCCAAGACCCAAACCAAGTGCGTCCAGTGGGCTCAACGTTAGGATTTCTTTTTGAGGTGGTTCAACTTCTTGTGCTTGACTACTAACCAAAATGCACAGCAGAAGAAAGACCTGGTGATCTGCTTTATGTAAAGATTGCCAAGCCCACGGCCATTAAGTAGATTCTGGTTCACAGTGACCCTGTGGGACAGTACAAGGCTGATCTACAGGATCTCCGGGGCTGAAATCTTTATAGACACAAACATCCTTCTCCCAAGGAAGAGCTGGTTGGGTTTGAACCCGTCACCTTTCAGTTCACATCCAATGCCTTAATCACAGTGCGACTGAAGTACCTTTCAGTAAAGCTGGAAGCTAGGAGAGCTGTGGTGGCACACAGGAGTATGGGGCCACCAGGTGTGGAAACGGACTCCTTAGCAACCAGCCACGGTTGCTTCCCTAGGGGGCGGGGGTGTGTGACCCGCACCCCTAACACTGTCCGATGGAGTGACACAAAATGACTCCCTGGTCCTGGAATGCCTGGAGAAGCCAGTACAGGGAGAGAGGCCCCCAGGGCAGTGACGTCATTAGGATTGGTGTCACCGTTGCCCAGGACCGTAAGTCATCATAACCCCTTTGGCATCAACCAATGATGTCAGGAGGCGGACAGGAGGACCAGGGTGCGAGAAATTGGAGGGTCTCAGTCTTGGACATAGGAGAGGGGCGGGGCCACATGTGGGGCAGGGTGTCACATGTGGGCCAGGGAAGGCCCACACGTGGGGGGCAGGGTCCATACATGGGGCAAAGGGGAGGGGGCCACACCAGGGGCGGAGGGCCCACATGTGGGGGGCGAGGGGCCCACACGTGGGGTGGGAGGGTAGGCCACACGTGGGGGAGGCCACACATGGGGCATAGGCGAACCCCTGAGTGGGTTCATGCCTGGGGCGGGGCCTGGCGCTGAGCCACGGGCCAGCCAGGGCGTGGAGGGGCTTGGCTGTATATGGGGCAGGGTCATGTGCAGAACTGGGCCAATCAGGTGGGGTCTTGAGGGTGAGGGCCACAGTGGAGCATGAGGGACCTGAATGGGCAGGACCACACTCCTCTCCAGGCACCTGAAGAAGCAGAGCCACATCGGTACCACACCTGGAAGGGTGTAGTCCTACTAGGGGCGGTGCTGGGCGGAGCTACATGTCCTGAGGAACTGTGGACAGAGCCCGGAGAGGCAGGGCCATGCGTGTGGCGGAGCCATGTGGTCATTGGGCCGAGCCGTACTTGGGACGGGGCCTGGAGGCGCAGGACCATGGTGTAGGTGCGAAGTTAGAAGGGGTGTCCTGTAAGAGGGATGAGGCTGTCCACTTGGCCCACCGTGGGTGTTCACCAAGCTGTCCTTGTCACAGGACGTACACACTGCATGGGGTGACACCATCTCCAGTGACAGCTCTAGACGGTTATGCTGAGGTTAGGTCCTGACTGTGGTGCCTGAGCTCCAGCCATTTCAGGGTGGAGCTAGGGGCCCCGCACGCACAGATGGTCAGCGGCGCTCTGTAAGGAGAGACAGGCCTATAGAGGGCGGTGGTCAGAGCTCAGAGCAAAGAAAGACTCGAACGAGAGGAGAGCAGGTCCTCGGTGGATGATGTCTGCACAGCTCTCGGCATGAACTGGGTAGGGGTCAGGGATGCTTCTTCCACATCCCACAGTGTGTGGGACCACCCCACCCTGGAGAAGGGTCCACAATGCACTGAGGGGTACGAGGGATGGGGTGGCCATCACCTGGGGCAGAGACTAGCTTTGATCCTCGCCCCAACCCAGGTAGGACACAGGTGAGGCTCTCGCATTGACAGAAGTCCCTTTGCGCAGACATGCTTCCACTGTCTGGGGGAGGCCAGCAAAGGGAGTGTCCAGGAGGGCTTCCTGCAGGAGGTGGTATGTGAATCAGGACCTGAAAGGGAACAGAGAGAGGAAGGTGGTCAAGCTGTGCAATAGGTGGGAAGCGAGCCCAGACGAGGCTCAAGGGAGAACCATGGGTGCTGTGGCCACCTGTGGCCAAGGTGCGAGAGGGGGGAGGTGGGCGGGGCGTCTGAAATGGCATGGGGTCCCTGGCACACAACGCAAGAGCTCCAGTCACCCCTTCGTCCACCTGCGGCCTGCTTCCAGATGACACCCCAGTGGCCACTGCCAAGAACATGCCCGGGGACAGTGCGGACCTGTTTGGAGACGGCGTCACGGAGGAGGGCAGCGCCGCCAACGGGCGCCTGTGGAGGACGGTGATCATTGGGGAGCAGGAGCACCGCATCGACCTGCACATGATCCGGCCCTACATGAAGGTGGTGACCCACGGAGGTGAGAGCTGGCGGGGGGCCACTCTGACCCTCAGCCTCGGACGTTTCACTCAGGGTCAGGGGCGCTGGGGTCTGGCTGAGGCTTGGGTCACAGGAGGTCACGGACTGCGTGGCCGGAGAGGGAGTGGGGAGGGTTTGCAGGTTATTCCGGTCACTCTGAGGGTTAACACGCACCCACCACTGCCCGCAGGCTACTACGGCGAAGGCCTCAACGCCATCATCGTCTTCGCGGCCTGCTTTCTTCCCGACAGCAGCGCCCCCGATTACCACTACATTATGGAGAACCTCTTCCTGTGAGCGGGGTTCCCCGGGGCTGGGGACCTGGGGGGCGAGGACCACGGCGGGGCGAGGATGGGGCTGCCCGCGAGCAGAGAGGACCCGCCCCCATACAGAAGTCAGAACCCCGAGGACCAGGGCTTTCAAGGTCGTCATTCTGTAGCAAGCAGATTGCCAGGCCTTTTTTCCGAGCACTACCTGAGGACTATTTCAGACCTTTTAGGTCCCAGTCCAAGACTTCACCTTTTGCACCACTCCCCCTGGGACATTAACACCTGAACAGGTGTGCTGGCCCCTCTGTGTGCTGGCACCTGTGGGGCAGGTGTGGGCCCGGTTGGGTAACTGACCGCCCTGACTCAGCCCCACTGCGGCGGGGGTCTCTGTGGCCGTCCAGGTACGTCATCAGCAGCCTGGAGCTCCTGGTGGCCGAGGACTACATGATCGTGTACCTGAACGGCGCCACGCCCCGGCGGAGGATGCCAGGCATCGGCTGGCTCAAGAAGTGCTACCAGATGATTGACAGGAGGTGGGCGGGGCCGGGGCTGGAGCCAATTGGGCTGGGGGGTGTGCTGGGGCGTAGTCCTCAGACCTGGATCTGAGTGAGGGGGTTGGGATCTGGGGCAGGGCCTTGGATGGGGCTGGGAGGGGGCCTGGGGCGTGGAGACCAGAAACGGGTTCTTTAGAAGCTCTGGTGGGTGTGTGGTAAGGAATTGCACTGCCAACTCGAAGGTAAGCAGTTTCAACCCACTGCTTGCCCCAAGGGTGAAAGATGGGCAGTTTCTCCTCTTGTGCAATTTTTTTTTAAAGCATCTACTTTTATTGCTTCTCGGCCTTTTGGCTAAGATCAAGTGTAAAGCATGTACTTTTATGTGTGCGCGTGCGTGTGTGTGTGCCGTCAAACTGGATCTGACTGGTACAGGAGAAGAGTGTCTCTCCAGCAGAGCATCTCGAACCGCGTGCCTCTGGCATTGCAGTGCAGCTTCTTGCCACTAGGCCACCAGAGCTCCCTTCCTCTTGTGCAGTTTACTGCCTGAAATCCCAATAGAGGCTCAGCCAAGGGTCACACATAACAACAATAACAAACTCTTTATAACAAGTGATTAATTATAGTAGAACTGACCTGACTCAACTGAATTGACCCAACGAAGAGCCTGCTCCCAAACAGGTTCGCAGCCAGGGCATCCGGGTGAGGACCCCACTCCTGGTTCAGGGGACAATACTTTGTAACGGGTGGGAGAGTGTACTCTGCCTATCCGCCTCTGTCCCTGGGCCGTTCCTGTGCACCATGGAGTCCCGCTCTCACGCTGCTCACGGGCGAGGGGGGGTCTTAGAGACTCAAGAGGTGTGTCTTTGTCCCCTCAAAGGACCCCCAGCTCACAGACAGTGTCAGGGCCTGATAGGTACATGGAGGTGCAGGTAGCTGGTACAGGCGGACCTCAGAGCTACTGCAGGCTCAGTTCCAGCCCCCTCAATAAAGGGAATATTATGAGTTTTGCTGTTCCCCGGTTCATGTGGAAGTTACGACTCCACTGAAGGCACTCAATGGTCAAACCCGCAGGGCTGCACGTCCTGTGGGTCAAATCCACCAGCTGAAGGTCAAGGTGGGAAGCTTCCTTCCTTAAAGACACAGAGCCCCAGGGCTGGTCGCTGGGAGTCCAGTCGGCAGGAAGGTTGTTTTTTTAGTTTGGTAGTCTATTAATTGTGCAATAGTGATGAAAAAGCTTAAAATGTGCAAAAAATTACCAAAATGTGACATAGAGACATGAATATAAACTATGGGAAAATAATGTTGACAGATTTGCTCAGCAAAAGGTTTCCACAACCCTTCAGTTTATAAAATTTAAAAAAAAATCACACCCACACAACAAAAAAACACCCCAACAATATCTGTACTATAAAGCAATGTGTGATCAAATAAGGTGTCTCAGTACAGGTAGATACTGTACAGGTGTCACTACAGGTAGATCCTGTACAGGTAGATGGTACCAGTATACAGCATAAGTACCTGGTGCAGGCACACAGTACAGGTACATAGAGCGTCTATGGAATGAACGAGCGAGTGGTGAATGCAACGCCCACTCTCCATCCATCCCCCCCTCCGGCCCTCCCTCCCCCAGTGCTCACACCTGGGGCCCATCGTCCCCCTTTACCTCTCCTACAGGTTGAGGAAAAACCTGAAGTCCTTGATCATTGTCCACCCCTCCTGGTTCATCCGCACGGTGCTGGCCATCTCCCGCCCCTTCATCAGGTGAGTGGGGTGTCACCTGTCTCCGTGGCCAGTCAGGTTGGTAGTTGAGGTTTTGGAGTTTGGGGGCTTTTTTGTTTTTTTTTTTAAATTAATTTTAATGAAAGTTTATAGAGACTTAGGCTTTCCATTCATTCATTGTTGCACTTTACTCCCTGCCCACACCGTCCCCCCCAGTTCACTCTTCTTGAAAAGAGAAAGAAAAACTCTTTCATTATTATACAATCCCTCCCCCCAAGTCCACTCCACACAAGAATACCCAATCATATATACTCCTTCATTCTGGACTCCTGTCATGACAATAATACCCAATCATATGTCCCTTTCAAAAAGTTCTCTCCCTCATCTGTTTCAATGCAGTGTACATCGTTCCTCCCCTCTTTCTCTGTTTTCCCTCAACCCTGATGTCAGTCCTGTTTTACAACAGTGGCCTTATGCAGTATTTGTCCTTTTGTGACTGAGATATTTCACTCACCATAATATTCTCCAGGCTCATCTATTTTGCATAGTATTTCATGAGTTCCTTGTTATTCAGTGCTGCATAGTATTCCATTGTGTGAATGAATATACAAGAGCTTCTCTATCCATTCGTTTATTGGTGGGCACGTGGGTTGTTTCCAGCTCTTTGCTATTGTGAACAAAGCCACGATAAACATGGGTGTGCAGGTCGTTGAGGTTTTGTTCTGCATTTTCAGCATCTTATCTTGCTGGGGGGTCCACAATCCAACAGTCAGGAAATCAAAAGTCAAGTTGCTTTAGGAAAATCAGCTGTAAGGTCCTCTCCAGAGTGCTAAAGAGCGACGATGTCAGTCTAGAGACTAAGGTTCACTAGTCTTCAGGCCACAGTCTTCACAGTTACATGCTATGCATCAGAGAGCTCGACAATGAATAAAGATGACAGAAGAATCGATGGCTTTGAGTTGTGGTGCTGGAGAAGAGTATTGAATGTACCATGGACTATCAAGTGAACAAAGAGGTCTGTTCTGGAGAAAGTGAAACCAGGGTGCTTCTTGGTGGCCAGGATTTCAAAGCTCCATCTCATGTACTTTAGGCTCATGGCCAGGAGGGACCAGTCCTTGGAGAAGGACATCATTATTTGAAGGGTGGAGGGACAGCACAGGAGAAAAAGACACCGGATGAGATGTACTGACATGATAACCAGGACAATGGAGGTAGGTGTGTTGGAGACAGAGAGATTGGCTCAGGACAGGGCAGGCTTCAGAGCTATTGAACCCTATGTTCTCTAAGAGTCACAATCAATTTGATGGCACATAACAATAACAACATGACGAAGATGCGATAATGCTTTTATAACAAAAATGGAACTGGTTTTATTCTATACTTATTAAGTGACGAGGCATAAGGGAAACACTGTGGACCATTTTCTATTGTGACAGGTAAGACTTTCATGTTCTGCTCTGGCGAAGCAGGTTATCCCCAGGCCTTTCTTCCTGGTCTTAGTTTGGAAGCTCTGCTGAGACCCGTCCACCAAGGCTGACTCTGCTGGCATTTGAAATCCCGGTGGCATGTGTTCTGGCATCACAAAAGCACACAAGCCACCCCCGTGCGACCAGCTGACAGATGGGGAGTGGAGTGGGGAGAACGAGGAGGGAGAGAAAGCTGAGTGTCCTCATTTAGGATGAGAAGATTAAGCCTGATGCTGGGGCTTATGAGTCAACGAAAACTGCAGTGTCCTGATGGGGCAGGAGCCTTTCCCGGAATTTTCCCTCCCGAGAATCCCCGTGAGCCGGAGTGCTGGGATTAGGGGTCTCCTGTCCCCTGAGACGTGGATGTGCATCTGGTGGTGGGTGGGGTGACGGGCCTATAAATACTGGTAGCATCCATGCGTATTTATAGACCCGTGCTCGGGCGGCCGGGATGGGTTCTGTGTACAATTTAAAAGCTTCTGAACCACTCACCAGCTTCCACAGAAGCTTCTGGAACTGGACAGAGCCAGCTGGCCCCTGAGCCCCTTCAGTAGGTTCTGCTTTCTGTCTGAGATTCTGTGTCTCCCCTTCAGGCTGGCGGGGACGGGGGGCTCTCCAGTTCCAAGGATAAATTAGTTCATTTGTTTGATTTGGGGAGGTGTCCCCAAAACGAGACCTTCCATGCTTTCCCGATGGAAGCAGTCAGCCACTGTGACAGGTCAGCTGCACCTCCCCCAGGCCCTGGACCTGTTTGTCTTCACTGAATTGTGGTAAAAGAAATAAAACACCGAAGTCCAGCCCATCGCCACCCTCGTGCGCGGGAACCACCCCCCTCTGGTTTTCGGGCTGTGGATCTTTACAGGAGGAGATGCACCCTCTCCCTAGGAGCAGCTAGTGGAGTCGAACCACCAACCTTTCAGTTAGCTGCCCAACACATAACACACTGCGCCAGCAGGGCTCCAAACACAAGGTGACATCGGCTGACTTGTGCCTCCTGTTTGCTCTCTTGAAATTCGTTTTGGTCGCTGTTGAGGAGGTGGTGATGGGTCTAGCGTGCCCTCAAGGCAGAACTGACCCACAGCTGGCCTGCTGACGGCTTTTCAGTGGTGGAGATCACACAGGAGATTGGCCCTTCTCCCACTGGGCAGCTGCTGGAGTCGAACCACCAAGCCTTTGGGATTGCAGAGCAGCTTCTTACCACTTGGCCAGCAGCGCCTCCTTGGGGTGGAGGATTTGCACAGCAGTCATTTCTCCCCGTCCAGTCAGCGACATCAACCACTCAAGCTGGGCCAACGCTCTCACCCTCCTTTCCCGAAAGGCTGGTGCTTCGGACCCACCAGCAGCTCTGCTTCTGAAAATCCCACAGCCCTGGGATCCCTGCGGATTCTGCTAAGCCCCGCGGGGTCACTTTGAGAACGAAGCAGCTTGTGGTGATGGGTTAAGCTTTGGGGGTGTTCAGAATTGTTCCTGCCCCCAGAAAACCTAAACCCATGTTCCCAAAGACAAGAAGACCCTCAACAAGATGAGTGGGTGCAGTGGCTGCAGCGAGAGCTCGGGGGTGTTGAGGACGGTGAGGGGACACAGCGCAGCTGTTCACACACTCACAGCCCTTCGTGACTTGACGATAGCTGACAGCCACAAGCCTCCTTCCTAACTTCTCCAGCTCGCAGCCGTTTAAATGTCCTGCTGTTGGTGACACTCGCTGTGTATTGTGTCCTTCCCCAAACGTGGTCATCACCCCATCCAGACTGTCAGCGTCCATGAGCCAGTCACCCCCTCTGCTCTCCCCTCGGCCCTGCTTAACCTCTAGCTGGCTTCCTGTCTCCATACGTTTGCCTGTTCTAGAGATGTCACTTTAAAGACTCAGGTGCGCCTGGTCCACGCCAGGGTATTTTCATTTGCTTCGTATGCATGTGAAAGGTGCGCGTTGTTTAAGGAAATCAATGCCTTTGCTCGGTGGTGTGGACAGAGGACCGAATGCATCACGGGCCTCAAAAACAACAAAGCCAGTTTGGACGCAGTGCAACCAGCCTGCTCCGTGGAGGCCAGGACGACCACGTACGTGCGGCAAGCTGTCAGGAGAGGCCAGACTTTGGAGGAGACACCAAGCTGGGAAAGGTGGACGGTCAGCCAAAGAGAGGGAGACCCTCACAGCACACAGCGGAGATTGTGGGGCCGGGGCCGAGTTTCAATCTGCCGTACACGGGGTCGTTATGAGTCGGAGCTGACTTGATGGCCCCTAACAATTCTGGTGGCCCAGCGATAAGAAGTTGGGCTACCAACCCAAGGGAACATGGTTCGAATCCACCATTGGCACCACAGAAGGATGGGCAGTCTCCTCCTGTGCGATTTACTGCCTCCAAAATGCCACTAGAAGGTCAGCTAGGGGTCAGTTTTGACTCAAAGGTAAATAACGACAGCATGTGAGTTAGAGGGGACACCCCAGGATGAGAGTGAGGAGGCCCCATCTCACGTATCAGGAGCGACCAGTCCCTGGAGGAGACCATCCATCAGGCTGGGAAGGAAGAGGAGGCCCCTGCAGGCCACGGTGACTGCGGCAGTGGGCTCGAGCCTGGCACAGGCTGAGGCTGGCACGGGGCCTGGCAGCGGGCCGAGCTGTCCTAGGAAGGGGCTGTCACAGCCTCCACCAAGACCTTCCCTTGGCCTGTGTTTCTCCCTGTTGAATGTATCTAGACCCAACCCTGCTTGCTGACGGTGAGCAGGATACGCAACGTCTGCTGCTGAAGGTCAAGGACTACGGCCTGTGGATTATATCTCAACATCAAGAAGATAAAGGTCCTCACCAGAGGACCAACAGTCAACATTATGATAGATGGAGAAAAGATCCAAGCTGTCAATGCGTTCATCTTGCTTGGATCAACAGTCAACACCCTTGGTACCAGCAGTCAGGAGGTCAGGAGATGTATTGTACTGGGCAAGTCTCCAGTCAGGGACCTCACCAAAACTCCTGAAGAGCAATGGTGTCAGTTTGAAAACTAAGGTGCGCCTGATTGAGATCATGGTCTTCTCAATCACCTGCTATGCATCAGAGAGCTGGACAGTGAATAAGGAGGACAGAAGAATTGATGCCTTTGGGTGGTAGCGTTGGAGAAGAGTACAGAATATCCCATGGATGACCAGGAGAACAAACTGGTATGTCTTGGAGAGGGGGTGGCCCTGGAGCCAAGGATGACCAAGCTTGGTCTTTCATACTTTGGACATGTAGTTGGACGAGGCTATTCCCTGGAAAGGGACATCATGCTTGGAAAGATGGAGGGTCAGTGAAGGAGAAGAAGACCCCCAACGAGATGGACAGAGATGGTGACTTCAGCAATGGGCTCTGGTGACTCAGAGGTGGTGACGATGGCACAGGAGAGGCCAGGGCTCAGAATGGCTGTGTGTAGGGTTACTGTGAGTGGCACTCAACACGATGACACATAACAACACCAAGAGGTCTCTTCAATGATGGGGGAAGGGGAGGGGAGTTTGTTTTCTAAAGCCACACCCAATTGGGTATTTCTGTTATAGCAACGAAGAGAAACCAAGAAAGCATTTCAGGAAGAACCTCCACCTCCCCCAGGACACACTGCTGAGTTCCGGCAGCGCGTTCAGTCCTCCTCACCAGCAACTCACTGCTCAAAATCTGCTGTTCTTTGACCTTCCTCACTCACTGTCCATCCACATGCATGAGACCAGAAGAATTACCACGACCTGGGTCGGGTGCATGTGCTCCTCCAGACACCTCTGCTCCTTGGGCTTTTGAGAAGTCCTTCCCAGGCGACTTGACCAACTTGACACCTCGGATTGCCTGACTGGGGGCTGATGGTGGTCCCAGAGAGCAGGACATTGTTGACAACCTCTTGCAGATGTTGGCAAACTCTACTAAAGCCCAGCAGACAGACTATCCTTGCTTCTCCGCCCAACCTGGTTCAGGGGGCCCAACCTGGTTCAGGGGGCCCAACCTGGTTCAGGGGGGCCCAACCTGGTTCAGGGGGGCCCAACCTGGTTCAGGGGGGCCCAACCTGGTTCAGGGGGGCCCAAGCCCAATTGCTCAGCTAAGTTGCCTCTTGGTTCCCTGGTGCTGCTGTTGCAGAAGTACCACAAAGGGGTGGCTTTAACGAACAGAAGTTCATTCCCTCACAGTTTAGGAGGTTGCAAGCCTGCGTTCCGGGTCCCTGTGCCCGAGGAGAGGCTCGCTGTCCATGGTGCTGGGGGAACGCCCCTGTCTGTGCTCTGTAACCCCTGGCGTTCCTCATACTTCCTGATTTGTGCCGCACCCTTGTGTGCTGAACCCAGTCTTTCTCAGAAGTCCTTGGATTGAGATTGTGTGCTACACTGATGTCGTCTCATTCCCAGACAGGATCACGGACTCAGGCATGTAATTATCTGGTGCCTTGGGGTGGCGCAGTGAATGGGCAGGGCAGCGGTTGGAACACACTGGCCACTCTGCGGGAGGACGCTTTGGCAGTTGGCCCCCCGTGAGGGTTTCAGCTCTGGGAGCACACATAGGGCTCTGCTGTCCTGTCTGGGGGATGCTGTGAGCTGGACTCATTGGCAGCTGTATGTGTGTGGCTCAAGCTGACATGAAGTCACAGCCACCCCATGACACAGCATAGATGCCCCGTGTGGCCTCCTGAGCTGTCATCTTCATGGGAGCAAAGCACCTGGTGGTTCTTCTGCAGAGCGTTGAGGGGCTCGAACCCCTGACCTTTGGGTTGGCAGCCGAGCGCTGTAACGTTACCCCACCGACACCAACAGGTTGAAGCTTCAGGAGCCAGCACACATTCGGGAGAAGCCCCTGGGGCTCACTGTGCCCTCCTTGCCCACACGGAGGCCAAGCTGGGGGGAGGGACCGAGGCTGGAACAAGGCATGGAGGGAGGGGCCTGGGTTCCAGCGGCCTCCACACCGAGCACCGTGGGGCCTCAGGTGTCCCCCTGTCTCCTCAGCGTGAAGTTCATGAACAAGATCCAGTACGTGCACAGCCTGGAGGAGTTGGAGGGCCTCATCCCCATGCAGCACGTGCAAATCCCGGACTGCGTCCTACAGTGAGTAACGCGCCTGCCCCACGTCCACCGCAGGCCCCGGTCCACCCCCCACCTTCCCCTGCGGTGAGAACGCAGCCCAGCCAGCACCCAGGGCCATGTCCACCGCAGACCCTGGTCCACCCCCCACCTTCCCCTGTGGTGAGAACGCAGCCCAGCCAGCACCCAGGGTCATGTCCACTGCAGACCCTGGTCCACCCCCCACCTTCCCCTGTGGTGAGGACCCGGCCCAGCCAGCACCCAGGGCCATGTCCACTGCAGACCCTGGTCCACCTGCCACCTTCCCCCGCGGTGAGGACCCAGCCTGGCTAGTGCCCAGGGCCACATCCGCCTGCTGTCCCCGGTCGCACTGTGACCTTTCCCTGCAGCGAGGACCCTGAGCCACCCCCCACTGGGCCAGCACCCAGTGCCACGCCCACCCACTGCAGTGAGGACCCGGTGTCATCTCCCCTGGTGGGTCCAGTGCCTGAGGTGACACGTAACAACAACAACAACAATTCTGAGGGGCTCTGCCGATGCAGTGATTAAACACTCAGTGAGTCATGAAAAGGTCAGTGGTTCAAATCCACCAAAAGAGCAGGTGCAGCGCAGCCACCAAGCCCGAGACCCACGGAGGCCCCCCCAGGCCCCCCACCAGGCCCCTGAGGCCCACCAGGCCCCCGGAGCCTGCAGCCCTGACCTCCCCTGCTCGTGGGTCGCCTGTGCTGTCACTAGTGTGCGTCACGGACACGTCCCACTCTGTGCCCCGCAGAGCAGGCATCTCCGGCCTCGTTCTCTTGATGCCAGGTGACAGTGTCACAATGGCACGTTGTTTAATATGGACGTACCACAATCACAACAAAACAAAAGCCTTTGGCAGAAAACAAACCAGCCAGCCACCGTGGGGCCTGTGGGAGCCAGAGCCCTGCGACGGGCTTGTCTTCTGGGGTCATGGGTGTCCCGTCTGTGTCAGGGTGCGGACTACCCCCTCCTGTTCTCTCCTTTCTTAGTGCAGAGGCCGGGGTGTCCCGCTATGACAGGTGCCTGCCCTGCACACATCTTCCCGTGTCACGTATGTGTCACTATGCTTCTGTGTGATGGTGGGAGTGACTGCCCACCATACTCGCTGCTCGGGGCCGGGTGTGTGTCAGGTACGTGTCTCTGTGTGATGGGAGATGACTGCCCACCGTAATCACTGCGCAGAGACACTCGGGCTGCATTCGTCCTCAATCAATCTGCTTGTGCCTCTGCCTGTTGCTGTGTTGTTGTCAGATGCCATCGAGTCAGCGCTGGCTCACAGAGCGACACACGCAACACACACAAACCCGCTGGATCCTGCATGGTCCTCCCACCGTCACTGTGGGGCCTCCAGACTGAGGGACCACCGCTTAGTGTCCTCCCAGCTCAGTGTCCATGTCCCGGCTCTGTGTCCCTGTCCCGGCTCTGTGTCCGTGTCCCGGCTCTCTGTCCCTGTCCGGGCTCTCTGTCCCTGTCCCGGCTCTGTGTCCGTGTCCCGGCTCTGTGTCCG